TATTTAAGATAAATTTTAACATTCAACTCTTTAATAATCAACATATGTGATTGTCTAAATCATAAACCTTGATTATATTCATCATAGTATGCTGTGTTCACATATTGATCTTTTCTAAATAGTTTTACATTGTACTATGGAAATGCAGTCTTTTGTTGAAAAATGCTTAAAATCATGTTTTCTATTCAGTTATAAAACCTCTTTATAGAGAGATATAGAGATGGATCAGGGTATTGCCGAGCCCTCGCCAGGACCATTTTGTGATACAGATTTATCCAGTTACATTTTAGAAGTAGCCTCTGTTTTGCTGTAATTTTAAAGAAGGTGTGTTGTATAGATTTGAGAATTAGAATGAACAGCGTTGTGTTTGTTTTCCCATTCGTACCTTATACCATACACCTGTTTGAGTCTGTGCTCTATTCTGAGCCCTGGGTCACCGATGAGAAGACTACAAGGGTGAAAAGGCAAGATGCCTCCCCCAGAGGGAGGTCTCCTTTGCTCTTTACGGGTGACAGTGATGGGGAACCAATGATAGAAATCCATGTTTTTAAACTCTGACAATTCCAGGGCTTTGCTTAACTTCTTGGCTTTATGTTTTTCATTACTTTTACGTTTTTCATTACTTTTTTATAATACACATAGTACATGTCGTTAGAATTTCATTGAAAGAAAATAAGTCATCTGTAATTCTACCATTCAGATAATTTCCTTCTAGATTTTAATTTCGCATATGTAATTGGGTGTTTCTGATTGTTATTACAACAATGTAGTTATACTATAAATACAGTTTACTTTTTTTATCATGAGCATTCCCCCATCATTAACTTGGATTTTAATAGTTTTATAATATTTCACCATGTTGTTACCCTATAAGTTATTTAAGCATTTTCTTATTAAATATTTGGGTCTACTTCATTCTGAGAAATAACGGTACAGTGAAATTTCTTTTAGACAAGTCTGTTTTGTAATTCCTTATTTCCTTGAGGTAGAGGCCTGGGAGGAGAAACTCTGGGGCAAAGGGCAGGGTTATTTTACTTTCCTAAGAGTCATCCATACCAGTTGTTGTTTGTTTTTTAATTAATAAACTTTGTTAGAACAGTTTTAGGTTTACAGAGAAATTGAAGGGATAGTACAGAGTGTTCTCAGACCTGAAAACAGTTTCTCTTAATAACATCTTGCATTAGTGTGGCACATTTGTTAGAATTGATAAACCAGTATTAGATGCATTATTAACTAAAGTCTATAGTTTACAATAGGTTTCACTCTTTACATTGTCCATTCATTGGGTTTTGACAGATGCATAATGTCATGTATCTACCCTTACAGTGTCACACAGAGTAGTTTCAGTGCCCTAAAAGTACCCTGTGTTTCACCTGTTCTTCCTCGGAGCCCCGGGCAACTGCTAATCTTTTTACTGTCGCCATTGTTTTTGCCTTTTCCAAGTGTTATATAAGTGGATTCATACAGTATGTAGCCTTTTCAGACTGAGTTTTTTCACTTCGTAATATGTATTTAGATTCCTTGCATGTCTTTTTATGACTTGATACCTTATTTCTTTTTATCACTGATTACGATTCTATTGTCTGGATGTACCACAATTTTTTTTTTATTCACCTACTAAAGGACCTCTTGGTTACTTCCAGTTTAGGGCAACTGTGAATAAAGCTATAAACATTCATGTGCAGGTTTTTGAATAGACACAAGTTTTCAACTCATTTGGGTAAATAACCTAGGAGTGGGATTGCTGGATCATATTGGTAACATTTTAATTTTGTGAGAAACTGCCAAACTGTCTTCCAAAGTAGCTGTACCATCTTGCATTCTCCCTTTGCTTCATATCCTGACTTGCATTTAGTTTTGTCAGTTTTTTCTATTATAGACATTCTAGTAGGTGTGTAATGGTATCTCATCATTTTAATTTTCAGTTTCCTAATGACATATGATGGGGAGCATCTTTTCATGTGCTTATTAGCCACTTGAAAAATATCTAGCTGTTTCACAATTCTGGGACCAGTAATGAGGCTGGCATTTCTGTTTAATCTTTTTTTGGTCACTCAGCCATTTCCATTATTGACAGCTTTATTTTCACGGGAATTCTGTTTGATGCTATTCACTTTTTTAAATTGTTGTTGCTCATTGGCAGAACTAAAGGGAAGAACAAATGTCTTTGAGAAGCTATGGAGTAGAAGGGTTTAGAAAATGCTTTCATGAAGAGATAGAGGAAGGAAATTAGAATAGTCAGGGTTGAATATTCAGTTTGAAACTAAGGTGTTATTTAGTGAGTGAGAGAAATTAGATTAGGATAAGGAAGAATGTATTCCAAGCACGGGTCTCTTATTTATTTACTTTTAAAAAGTAATACTAAAGATGGAAGTTAGTGGAAAATATTGTCAGAGGTGAGAGGTGGATATTGAATAAATTAAAGTGTTAGTTCAAATACTTTAATTGCATTGTGTAGAGCTGTGGTATCAACAGTTTGTAGAAATTGTGGTTAGAAAAAACTGGCAAAAATGAGTTTAGAAAAGAAGACAGTAATGAAAATGAATGTTTCTTGGTCAATCTGAACGTTTTTCTCTAAACATATGTTATTTTATATTAAGGAAGTTTTGTTTAGAAAACTTCCCCTTTGAAGAGATGTAAAGGACAGTTTAACATAATGAATCTACAAATTGTTAGAGGGAAAAATGAAAGCAGCTCATTAAGTTTTGTTTCTGGTCCCTACAGACCACTCAAAATTAAGTCTCCTATTTTTGTATTCTGAGACTCTAGGGTGACTGGGAAGAGATGGGACTGAGAGTGAGTGGGATTTAGAGTGAAAGAGGCAGTGCTCAAGGAGAATTTGAGTTAGGGGATAAAAAGCGTGTCCCCACATTGGTTCTGCTCTGCAGCTTCACTTCAGAACGCCCTTGAACCCTCGGTTCTTCATCTTCATCAACATTGTCATCTTTATTGTCCTTTGTCTTCTTCTCCTTTTTTCTTTCTCTGAACAAACGAGTGGTATGAGTTATATGATTTATTAATATTTAAATTTTTCTTTCCCTTGCTCACAAACAATTTTAAATTGTTTAAATAAATGTCTCTTTTGCAGTTAGTCCATTTGAATCAATTTAAGAGCTTATTTTAAATTGTAATATTAATTCAGTAGGTGGGAAATAGAGATTAATGCATCCAGATATAACTAGAGAAGATAAGCACTGATATATTGTGGCCTCTGTAACCTTTCAACTGTCAAGACATGTCTGGTTTATTTGAAAGTTGATATAACTTTTTTTTTTTTGTAAGGACTACTAATCGCTTTGTTACTATAGAAAGTCATCATGAACATTTTTCAAAGAAAATATTTTGTATAATGATTCTTTAAGGTATCTTATATAATCATTCTTTAATGTTTCTTTAAAATTAATCATGTACTTATTTACAGGTACATGAAATTGCGCTTAACCCATTGTCAAATTAATGATGTTATTAAAGAAATCAATAAGGCAGTACTTAGTAAATATAAGATCCTACATCAACCAAAAAAGTCTGCTATGAGTTCTGTGGCCAGAAATCTCTATCACAGATTTATTGATGAAGAAACAAAGGATACCAAAGGTAAAATGGTAGCATATATATGTGTACATGTCAGTTGTTTGGAGTGTAACTAAATCGTGAGAAATAAAACTAATTCTAGAAAATTCTAAATTTAGAGAGGCAGTTCTCAACCAGGGGCAATTTTCCCACCAGGGAACATTTGGCCATCTCTGGAGACATTTTTGATTGTTACAAGTGGGGTTGAGGATGCTACTGGCTTCTAGTGGGTAGAGACCAGGGATGCTGCTAAAGTACCCTACAAAGCACAAGGCAGTTCCCACAAAAAATAATTATCTATTCCAAAATGTCTGTAGTGACGAGGCTGAGAATTACCGTGTTCAAGTTTATTACGGAACTATACCCATTGTTTCCAGAATTAGAATAGTAATGACAACAGCTGGTCCTGCTTGCATAGCACTTACTATGTGCCAGATGGTATACTGAGAGCTTTAGTCTCACGACATCCTTAAGAAGTACGTCCTGTTAGCACTCCCATTTTGCAGACTAGTCAAAGAGAACTTAGGTTACTGGTCCAATGTCAGCCAGCTAAGTGATATCGCTGCTGAGGGTTTCATTCTTTTGACCACTATCCCATGTTGCCTCTTGAAAAGTTAATTGTTCAAAAGATACCAGCAGATAGCTAGTGATATAATAAGCAGGGCTACATTTCTGAAATGCTACCATATACATTATATAACTTCAATTGAAAGAATAATTATTATTTTAGCCAGAATACCAGTTCTTACTTTGGTTAGATAACAATAGTAAAAATGATGAGTGCCATTCATAGTCATGGTGTTATGCATTAAAGACTCATCTTGAAAATTGTCCTTGTAAAAATTAGTGCTAATATCTTTATTTTCAGGTCATTATTTTGTAGTGGAAGCTGACATAAAGGAGTTCACAGCTTTGAAAGTTGACAAGAGGTTTCACGTGATACTGAATATCTTACGACACTGCCGGAGGCTGTCAGAGGTCCGAGGCGGAGGACTCACTCGATATGTTATAACCTGAGGCCCTTGGGAGCTTTTCGACGAGCCAGCAGTAGGGTATAGAGGTTATGTCTCTAATTTCCTTGTATGTAATTTTTAAATATATCATTTTTTTAGCTTTTTAATCATCTCGTTGTAAAAATAAAACTTTTTTTTAAAAAGTATATATATTTAAAAATAAACTTTCAGCAAATATTTAACCACCTACTGTATGAATCTCTGTGCTAGACATATAATAGAACTAAAAAATGTTCATATGTAGTTTTTGTGTTTAGTGACAATGCAACAGACCCCAATAAGATGGGCACAGATGTGATAATGGAAGAAAAATTCAAGAGGATAAAGTCAAGGATACCCAGGCTCTTTGGAATGAACGGTCATTAGTATCTAAATTCCATCAGTGGCATTTCAGTCTACAGGCAAAAGTTGGATTTAGAGTCAGCCCATCCATGCGATTATTCTCCTTTCCCATATGTCGTTAGGAAGCAGCTTATCTGGAATGCATTCAGTATAAGCCAATCTGTAAACATCAATCAACCTGTAATGAAATTATAATAAAAATAGATTAAGATGAAAAAGATGGTAAAATAACGTGTAGGCAAGTTGATAGAGGTCATGAAAAATGGGTAGTTGGCTTGTAAAAATGTCACTTTTTCTTCCGCACTTGGGGAGACTGTCTTATGTATGTTTTAGTCAGTGTTCTCCAAAGAAACAACTAACAGGAGATACATGATTGTGGAGGCTGGGAAGTCCCCAGTCTGCTGTCTGCATGCTGGAGACCCGGGAGAATTGGTGGTGTAATTCAATCCGAGTCTGAAGGCCTGAGAACCAGGGGAGCCAGTGGTGTGTGTATATCTCGGTCCAAGGGCAGAAGTGTGATGTCCCAGCTCACACAGGCAGGAAGCAAAAAAGGGGAGACTTCCTCCTTCCTCCACCTTTTGTTCTGTTCAGGTCCTCACTGGATTAGGTGATGCCCACCCGCACTGAGGAGGGCAGTTCACTGAGTCCACCGATGCAAATGCTGGTCTCATCTGGAAACAACCTCACAGACACACTCAGAAATAATGTTTAACCCGGGCACCCTGTGGCCAGTCACGTCACATAAAGTTTACCATCACAATCTATGCATCTGCATGGCAGGCTGATCCTTGTGTCAGAGGAAGTGTTTCACTAGGCCCAGTGGCCTGGCTAACACTCACTCTGATGACCACAGAGCACATTATGGGCACTGAATATTGTTATCCTTTGTTTCTCCCTAATTTAGATGAAGGTGTGTTTAATTTTTCATTCTCGCTTTAAACAAAATTAATAGCATTATCCTTAATTTGTTTTAAGTTTGGCTTAATTTTTCTCTGAATCATTTTTCCCTGTGAAAAACATTTTCTCTGTTTAAAATATTTCTTCCTGAAACTCATATCAAACAACTGTTTTGGTAAGTTTGTTTAATTCTGGTAGACTGGATACCAAGGTGAACGTTAGTCTCTATTTTAATTGTTAACATGTAATCAAGTAGTTACATTAACTTAGGTGTACAGTTGGTAAAATCATTCGTCAAAGAATAAACAGGCATTAATTTTCGAACAAGAACTAATTTCTGTTACTTAAACTTCATTTTCAAGCAAAATGACAGGCTCATTCTACTTATTTAATTTTGAAAATAATATTTTAAAAATATCTAATTTTGAAAGAATTTGTGGCCCTAGGTCTCTTTGCTCTCAGATCCATGCCCGGCCCTTTCTTTGCTGTCCATCTTCTGTCCATCCATCTTGCAGCCCTGACGCACCCTTTCTCTCCAGTCTCATGGATCCCCGGAGCATGGCTCTCCAGAGCATGGCTCTCTCCAGAACTTTAGGCACTGAACCTCATGCCACAGGTCTCTGTTGCAGGTCCGGTGGCCTGGAGGGGAACAAATTCAAGCTTCCTGTCTTGAGCTGGCTGCCATGAGCCTGAGACCTGGTTTACAACCTAATCCTACTGGCCTGCGGGCCCTGGGTAGGAGAGGGGTTGACGGTAGAGACCCAGGCTTCTAGATCGAGATACTAATTTTTATGTGATAAGATCTTTAATCTGTTTGATTATAGGTTCTATTTTTAGGAAAAGTTGGTTATTTATAGATAAAACATTTCCTGGTAACACGGGCTATTTAAAAATGATTATGGTAGATCACTGTCTCTGTCCTGTTTACCTCTTCTAACTATGCTCTATCCTCTTTTACCTCCTAGCTGTGTAGGTACCCGCTCACATTCTTTTGGCTTCATCTAGTTTGTATATCCAGATGTGAATCGTGTGTTTATCTTATTTACTAATTACAAAGGGGGAGATGTAACTTTAAATGAAGAGATCTGGTTAAACTACTGTGGCAGATTATATTTTCCAAAAATGGATGGATGGATGGATGGATGGATGGATGGATGGATGGATGGATGGATGGATGGGTGAATTTCATATTCCATCAAGAGGCAGGATCATAGTTCCCTCCTTCTGCATCTGGGCATTTCTTTGTACTGCCTCAGCCAATAGAATGGAGAGGAAATGCTACTGCATGCTTTCCAGGCTATCTATTAAAGACAGTATGAATTCCATCTGGTCTCTCTTGGGAGGCTTGCCTTTAGAGCCCTGTCACCATGTTGTGAGAAAGCCCAAGCTACATGCAGAGGTCACATTAACTGCCAGCACTGACTACCAGGCATGCGAACATATGATTCCAGCCCCCAACCTTCAGGTGTTCTTGCCGAGGTCTCAGACACAAAGGAGCAAAGACAAGTTGCCCTCACTGTGCTCTGTCTGAATTCAGGACTTGAAGGAATCATTACAAATAAATGTTTATAATAGTTTAAAGACACTTTTTGCATAACTTGTCATACAAGAGATAATGAAACAAAAAGAGAGGTAATGAAAACACTACCCAAATTTAGCATCATCAATAGTGGGAACATCTTGACATATTCCTCCTAATGTGACACAACGAAATAGTACTAACCATGAAGAATTACTGTCAAAAATGTTAGCCCTGAATCTAATTAAGACATTAGTTCTATCATCTAGTTTATAGGAAGCACAGAGGATAGAAAAGCTAAGTGTCATTATGAAATAATCGGACTAATCCAGATATAACAAATCACGTGGGTCTCTTAAAAACAAATCAGCAGAATATTACTCAGCCATTAAAAAAAATGAAATCCTACCATATGCAACGATATGGATGGACCTAGAGGTTATTATGCTGAGTGAAATAAGAGATAACTACCATATGGTATCACTTATATGCGGAATCTAAGAAACAAAAATAATCAAAATCAGACACAAATATAGTGGACAATTTGGTGACAGAGGGGAGAGGGGTTAGGGGCTGGGAGAATGGGTGAAGGGTTAAAGAAGTACAAATCAGTACTTGATAGTGGTCATGCGGATGGGAAGCACGGCAAAGGGAATGCAGTTAGCATTAATATGATGGCTAGGTGGAGGGCCAGGGGAGGGAGGGAGCAATTGGGGGGATCGTTTTAGGAAATATATAGATGTCTAACCAGTGTACTGTATACTTGAAACTAATTTAAATAAATAAATTTTTTAAAAAGCAGAGAAAAGGATCCTGTTCTAGTTGAAAATAGACTTAAGAACATAGCCAGATATAAATCATTAACCTTGATTGGATTGAGTTTTGAAAAGATTAGGGACAATTGTGGAAATTTTAATACGGGTTATATATTAGATGCCATAAAAATTATTACTTGTTTTGTTAGGTATGATGGTATTGTTATGTAGGAGAATATCCTTATTTTCTGCAGAAGCATGCTGTTATTATGGATAAGATGTCACGTGATATCAGTAATATGCTCTAAAAGATGGCCCAGCAATATAATTACATACATGCATGCATACATATTTAGAGCACATATAGCAAAGTGTTAATAATTGTTTAACCTAGCTGATGGTTATGACTGTATTCATTGTATTATTCTTTCTTATTTTCTGAGTGCTTAAAATTTTTTTCCTAGTAAAATTTAAAATACTCATGTGAAACACATATACTAATTAGATGTTTACATTTCATGAATATGCTGATAAGGACTTGTGGGTTGGTGAAGTTGGGAAAGAAAAGAGTTATTAGTGACTGGTTAGGAGCTCATGTGCCACTTCAGGCATTTGTAAAATTCAGCTCTCCTGCATCCATTCTCAGTACTGCTCACAGCCTAATCTGGGGGTCTGAACTTAATGCATTAGATGAAATGGGCGAAGATATGAATTTCTTAAATTATGCTGCACGTAAATATTCCTTTATTTACATACAAAGCAGTGTATTTGGCATCTCACTTATGCGTGGAGAAATGATATATGGTATATAATCTTGATATGTGAAAAATGTATCACTTTTAATGAACCATGTTTCCAAATAAGCTTAGGCAGGATATACCCCTGCAGATGATTAACATGGACAGATTTTAATTTCTAATACAGGTTTAATTTAATTATGAGCCTACTTGCCTGCCTTTTGTTTTTAACAACTTGTGCAGTTTCAGACCGATATTTTAAATCAATGCAGCAACTCAAAAAGCTTAGGTAATTAATTTCTTTCCTCCTCATGGGTCAACATGACATATGTGGAGGATTCTAATTACAAAAGTTTTCTTGGTAGAGTGATTGTGAGCTGTACCTCAGCTGCAGACTTAAAATTGCAACTCTAATACTTAATTGCAACTCAGAAATCAAATTATTTATTGAGAATGCTCTCTTCAACTTTAAAAAACAATTCAGCAACATGGTACATCAAAAAGAAAACTTAAGCGTCAGAAGCCTGGATCCTAGTCCTACCTCTGCCATTTACTCCCTCTTGGTTCTTTCTTCAAAAATGTGACCTCTTCTCACAAACTACAATCTACCACTTGGTCCCAAACAGTGTCATTTCTCCGCTGGATTAAATCAAAGCTTCCTAGCTGGTCTCTGCTCGTTGTTGCCCCCTACCATCTATCCTCCACATGAACCAAAGTTAGAGTAGGTCATTCCACTACTCATAAACCTTCAATAGATCCCAAATTCTTACATAGAAAAAGCTGGGTCCTTACAGAGGCTTGCAAGCCCCTTTATGGGTCCCTCCTCAACTCAGTGGTATCATCTGCTCCTTTATTTTCCAGCTCTGCTACAGCCATACTGGCCTCTATGCTGTTTCTGGAACGGGCCCATCATGAGTCTCCCTCAGACCTTTGCAGTGGCTGATGCCTCTGCCCAGGAAGCTCCTCATCCTTTACCCATGTGACCCTCCTCCTTACTTCCTTCATAGATGCTCAAATGTCATTTGGCCATTTAGGCCTTCTCAGACCACCATATATTTAAAATTACAGCTCTCTTCAACGCTTCCCCTTCTCTGCTTCATTTTCCTTCATAACACATTTGTCTATGATGGTTTATGTATTTTACCTATTTATTTGTCTTTCTCCCCCCACTAGAATATAAATCCCTGAGGTTAAGAGTTTGTGTCCTTTTTATTCACTGCTGTGTCTGCAGCCAGTCTAACAGGGCTTTACTATAGAGGGCACTAAATATAGGATGCACATTAACTGAAACAGTTTGTGGCTGTGGGAAA